AGGGAAGCAATCCTTCCTAAGTCATTCCTGGAAGCAAATATTACTCTAGTACCAAAACCTGAGAAAGACCCAACTAAAAAAGAGAACTATAGACCGATCTCCCTAATGAACACAGATGCAAAAATCCTCAATAAAATATTGGCAAATAGGATGCAGCAAATCATCAAGAAGATTATACACCATGACCAAGTGGGATTCATCCCAGGAATGCAAGGATGGTTCAACATACGCAAATCAATAAATGTAATCCACCATATCAATAAAGCCAAAAATAAGAATCACATGATCATTTCTATAGATGCAGAAAAAGCCTTCGATAAGGTCCAACATTTATTCATGATAAGAACTTTACAGAAAATTGGAATAGATGGTCTTTACCTTAATATAATAAAGGCCATTTATGACAAACCAACAGCCAGCATCATACTAAATGGCCAAAAATTGAAAGCCTTTACTTTAAAATCAGGCACAAGACAAGGATGTCCTTTATCACCACTCCTATTTAATATAGTACTGGAAGTACTAGCCAGAGCAATTAGGCAAGACAGAGAAATAAAAGGGGTAAAGATAGGAAAAGAAGAAGTTAAATTATCATTGTTTGCAGATGACATGATACTCTACATAGAAGACCCCCTAAACTCCATGGAAAGACTCTTAGATACAATAAATAAATTCAGTAATGTGGCTGGATACAAAATCAATACTCAGAAATCAGTAGCATTCCTATACACGAACAGCAAAATCACAGAGAGGGAAATAAGAGAAACTGGACTATTCACATTAGCAAGCAAAAAAATGAAATATTTAGGAATTACTCTTATGAAAGAAGTGAAAGACTTATACAGTGAAAATTATAATACACTGAAAAAGGAAATTGAGGATGATCTCAGAAAATGGAAAGACATCCCTTGCTCATGGATAGGAAGAACAAACATTGTGAAAATGGCCATTCTCCCAAAACTGTTACACAGATTCAATGCAATCCCAATAGAAATACCATCAACATACCTTATAGATCTAGAGATATCACTCCTAAATTTCATCTGGAACCAGAAGAGACCTAGAATCGCAAAGGCAATTCTAAGCAGCAAAGACAAAGCAGGAGGCATCACAATCCCTGACCTGAAGTTATTCTACAAAGCAACAGTAGTAAAATCAACATGGTATTGGAATCAAAACAGAGCCGAAGATCAATGGAATAAATTAGAAGATACAACCACAACTACAAACACACTCAACCACCTTATCTTTGATAAAGGAGCCAAGCAGGTTCACTGGAAGAACGACAGTCTGTTTAATAAATGGTGCTGGAAAAACTGGCTCTCCATTTGCCGAAAACTAAAGCTAGACCCATGTCTATCACCATGTACTAAATTAAAATCTAAATGGGTCAAAGATCTGAATATTAAAACAGAAACACTAAATCTATTGGAATACAAATTGGGTAGAAACCTTGGAGACATAGGAGTAGGTAGAGAATTCATGAACAGGACTCAAACCACACAGGAAATACTTCCCAGAATCAATAACTGGGACCACTTCTTATTAAAAAGTTTCTGCATGTCAAAAGAAATCTCCAGCATAGTGAAAAGAAAACCCACAAACTGGGAAAAGATTTTACTGAACTCTCTCTCAGACAAGGGACTCTTGTCTAAAACATATAAAGAATTTTAAAAACTCAGACCTCCAAAATTCAAAGATCCAATCCAAAAATGGGCATCTGAGATGAATACGCAATTCTCAGATGAAGAAATGCAAATGGCAAATAAATACATGAAAAAATGTTCATCATCATTGGTCATTAGAGAAATGCAAATTAAAACCACACTGAGATACCATCTCACTCCTGAAAGAATGGCCAGGATCAAGAAAACCAACAACAACAAATGTTGGAGAGGCTGTGGGGAAAAAGGAACTCTCCTGCACTGTTGGTGGGAGTGTAGACTGGTACAGCCTTTGTGGAGGTCTGTCTGGAAATTTCTCAAAAAGTTGGGATTGGAAATCCCATTTATTCCAGCTATTCCACTTCTAGATCTTTCCAGAAGAACTGAAAGCATCATGCTACAGTGATATATGTGCACCTATGTTTAGAACAGCACAATTTGTAATCACCAGATCTTGGAAACAACCCAAGTGTCCATCAACTGAGGAATGGATAAAAAAGTGGTATTTCTTACAGTGGAGTATTATTCAGCTATAAAGAAGGATCACATTGAGATATTTATCAATAAATGGGCACAGCTTGAGACCATACTCATAAGTGAAATAAATCAATCTCGCATGTGTGAATACCGAATAGTTTCCCTAATGTAAGTAATGATTCAAATATATGGTAATCATGATTCCCCATTATGTGGTCTTGAAGCCTTATAAAGTTTTCACTTATTAATTGGAAAGGCTTTATTCTGGGCTTCTTGATATGGAAATATTTGAAGCTATAGTATATGAAGTTTTATCCAAATATTTCAAGGAAAAAGACAGACACTATGGTAACTACTATTAAGTTGGCTTATTTGGTGGTGAAGCACTAGATTGCTGAAACAGTCATGCTTTGACGTGTATTGTTATATTGTTATGTCCTGTTTTATCTCAATCTCTCCCTTATTCTTTAAAAAAAATTATTTAGTTATTTCTTATGTTTGTTTTAATTAAGGGGAAAATTTTTAAAAATTAGCAGGATATATAATAAACTCTTTTTGATTTCCTATTAACTTGGTTTGAAGTCCTGTAATACTCCCACGATCTTGTTTTGACTGATTAGACTCTGTTCCATTCTGTATGATAGTATCAAGTTTGAGGGTATAGGCAACTACTTTGAAGGCAATAAGATTCACTAAGATGCCCATTCTGGTTTGACTATTGTCTCCTTTGGAAGTCCTATAATGTTTACAATGCCTAAGTTTTATTGGTCTTGTTCTCTACTGTTTTGTCCAACTTTATAATATCTAATGAGATAGACAATTCTTTTTAAGGAAACAAGAGACAACGTTGATAACCATTGTTGATAACCTTGTACTCTGTTTTACATCATGTGCTATGTCTATCCTTGGTTTTGACTGACAGCTTTGTTTTGCCATTTTGACTTTATTCTCTTCCCCCCCCCCAAAAAAAGTAATAAGAACTAAGGAGTAATAAAATCCAAAATGTGTAAATTTTGTTGTAAAAAAGAGCTCTAATGGATGTAACAGCAAGTGTGTTTAGGGGTGTTAAATAGCTGACTATATTAATGTTTTTGGATCATTGAACACAGCTGTTTGCAGTCTCTCTGTTTGAATGTCCACTTTGTAATCTTTGATACTGTGATTTGAGCAACTATTTCTAAGATGATAATATGTAATCTATTAACAGGTGATTTCTTACTGTTTTTTTTTTTGTAGTTCTGTATTACGTGTACCCTTACACCGCTTTGTTTTGTTTTGTGTTTTTCTCCTTTTTCCTTTTAAATAAAATTTAAAAAAAAAAAAAGAGATGCAAGTTAAAACAACACCGAGATTCCATCTTACCCTAGAAAGAATGGCAATTGTCAAAAAAAAAAAAAAAAAAAACACTAACAAGTACTAGAGGGGTTGTAGGAAAATGGAACCTTTCTCCACTGTTGGTTGGGAGTGTAGACTGGTACAGCCACTATGAAAATTAGTGCAGAGAGTCCTCAAAAAATTAAGACTAGAGATCCTGTTCAACCCAGTTGGTCCCGTGCTAGATATCTTCCCAAAAGAATTAAAAACATCATACCACAGGCATGTATGTGCACCCATGTTTATAGCAGTACAATTTGTAGTAGCTAGATCTTGGAAACAACCTACATGCCCATCAACTGAGGTATGTGTTAAAAAGATGTATTTTTATACAATACTATTGTCATAAAAAATGATAGAGACTTTTTTATAGGTAAATGGATGCACCTTGAGACCATACTCATTAGTGATATAAATCAGACATGCATGTGTAAACATTTGTCTATTGTGAGAAGCTGAAACAACATACGTATATGTTTGTGTATATATAAATGTATGTATATAAAAAAGTTAAGACAATTATACTACTGATTTCTCTTGAGTTCACTAGAGTGCAAGATTTGTGCTGGTATTGTTCAGACAATTTAATGGAGATGTCTTGTGCTCTGGATGAATGATCTGGGGATCACAATGTCGCCCGACTGATGTCTTTTGAAATTTTGTTTACTTTCTCTTCCCTCCCCTTTCCTCTCTTCTCCTCTCTCTTTGAGATAAAATGGATTTGGGGGAGGGAAAAAAAAAGGGAAGACTGAAAAGAAGTGTGAAGAGTCAAGAGGACAATCCTGGCTGCCTGAAGGTGCCTAAGGCCCTGAAACAGGAGCAGCAGTGTATGGGAGGAATGGCAGCCTGCAGTGGGGAGAGCCAGGCCTGCGCTGCCCTGTTGCACGCCATAGGATCTGACCTGGAGCACAGTATAGGCTTTCCAGCTGTATGCATAGAAAACTGGATAGTAGCAAAAGATAGCAGGGTAGTCTTTGGAGAGACAATTACTATAACCGAGTCAGGAGATGAATTTGAACAAATCTCACCAGTTTTTGGACCCACTCAGTACCTCAAAATTGTGATGCAATTTATTCAAAGTTTTAAAGCTATTATCATGACTCCTGCTGTTAAGACTGTTAATTTCTTCTGATTCTTGCCATTTGGAGTTTATTATTCTTCATTTATCTTTATTATCTCTTCTTTTTCCTCCCACTTAGTATACATTTAGATTCATCTAAAGATAATGTATATAGTAAATTATATATGGTTTCTAGTGAATAACTAGGAAACTCCATGGAGTATGCACATATAAATGTTGTAACATAACTCAAAGGCATAGAATCACTGCCTTACAACATGCCAAAATATCAGGAAGAAAATTGTGTGAAATGAATTTCTACTCAAAAGTTACACTGTTGTTATCAGAAGCCTGACTTCATACTCCCTATAAAAGTTTATACTTTCTTTATGTTAACAATCTTATTTATTGAACTGTCTTTATAGGAATTGCCTGAAAATCCATGGGGGAAGTTACGTATTCATCTCTATTTTGATGGAATGTCACTTTCCTATTTTATGGCACACCATAAATATTGCAGTTTTGAATATTCTGAGGAAATATTTAAAGAAGTAAGTGAACTGTTTTTCTATAAAAAATCTGGCTTAAACTGTTACATATTTGTCTTACACCTCAGGTATTAAACATGATTCTGTGTATCTGACCTAAGAGAGTGTGAGAATTTGTAAATTCTTTGTTGAAAAAGCAATACTTTGTTTCATGCTTTATGCATGTGCTGAAAATCTTTATTTACATGAAGATTCTGTTACCAGGTTTTAGGGTGCTGGAGTCTCCTCCTGGAGATGGCTTCTAGATTCTTTGTGTGCTAAGCAAAGAATTGGTCAAGATAAGCACAGATGGTAATGAAGTTTTATTAAAGGTAGGAAAAGAAACAGGCTTTGCAGAGTTAGTTTGAGCAAAGTAAAAGTAAGAAAAGACGTGCACCCTGTAGTGCAACAGAGGCACCATAGGAGAAAAAAAACAGCGGCACAAACTCAGTGCAGACCGTCCTTCCCATATCACCCACTCTCCTGGCCGCCATCAGGGTCCTGAGCCATCCTATGGAAGATATGCACCAGTACTCTGGAGAAGTCCAGGTACAGGGCTTTGGGAACTGTCCGCACCTGTGCTCTGGATCTTGTTAAAGATCACACTACTTCCCCCGCCAGGTTTGCCACGCCCTCATGTCCTGTCTCAAGTCTACTAATGTTTGTGTTCCCTCACATCCAATGAATGAGACACCGAGACGTTACCAAATATACATTATAAAATCTGAATCTAATCCTTGAAAATTATTCTCTCCCAGATAAAATGTTTTTTTCCTTTAACTTGATGTAGAACTTGATATTACATGTGGAGCATCCCAAATGTCAAAATATACAACCTAAAAGTGCTCTTAAATGTCCCAACATGACACTCAAGTTACAGAGCTTAGTGCATTTTTAATTTTTAATCTAGGATGCTAAATCAGTAAAATCTGAGCAATCTAAAATATCTGAAATTCTGAAGCACTTCTAGTTCCAAGTACAAAAGTAATTTGGCCTGTGTAATGTTTTCTCCCATTTGCCTTCTCCCAAGAAATTCCTTGCCATATTTTGAGCTTAGCTTCAATAAATAACCCATTCCAGTTTCCTGCTACTTTCATTTTTAATATTTTAGATATGGTTTCACATTTCCTTTAGGGGACTAAACTATGTATGATAGTAACATTTTATACTACAAGGTATTTTTCACAGTTAACTTACAAGTTTCTAACATTCACTTTAGTGATACTAAACAATGATACACCAAGTGTTATACTCCACATAGCTACTTTTCTCCAGCATGTTCTGGGATGTCAATTTGTGCCTGTAATCTTTACTGCCAATTTTGTCTTTAAATCAGAAACATACATGTGAATGCATCTGCTTAAAAGATGCCCCATTTTTAAACTAGTTTTATAAAAAAGTACTTAGTTTCTCTTCCAAGTATGCTCTTCACTGTGCATACTTTAAAGGGAAAAGAGGGCTCACTTTCTTACAATAAGCTAGTACTAAAATGTGCGTAGTATCAACTTAAAGATTCTTACAGTTGAAATGTCAGTAGTAAAATCGATTTTCCTGTGTTAATCTGAAATAATTAAATTAATGCCATTATGTACATGCACCAGTTCTTGTGGAAATAAAAAAAGTGCCTTAAAACAATACTGTATTAGCTAGTGGTTTTACTCATTAACACTATAATATCATTTCAGAAACCAACAGACTACAGAAAATATGAGGAAGAAATATGGGAAATAAAATTTGAGGTAAGTTAAAATCCAAATATTTTGAAAACTTTATAGACACTCCAAAGGTCTGCTATAAGATTAATAAATAATTTTATAAGTTTTATTGCAATATTACTACCATACTAAAACTTCACCTTCTTAAAATGTACAATTCAGTGGTTTTTTAGTATTACTTACTTATGCAGTACCACAAATTGCAGAGTATTCTGAAAAGCAGTTCTGTACCAGCAGCAGTCTTTCTCCCCTTCCCCAGCTTCATGGCATCCACTTAAACTCTCAATGGATTTTCCTGTTCTAGGTATTTCATAAATGGAAACATACAATATATGTTCCTTGTCTCTGGCTTTTCACTTAGCATATTTTCAAAGTTTGAGCATGTCATAGGATATAGCAGCAATTTAATCTTATCACCAAATAAAATTACATTGTATGGGTATATTCATCCATTTATTATTTATGTGAGTTGGTTTGTTTCACCTGTTGGTGATCATACTGCTGCTGTGAACATTCATAAACAAATCTTATGTGAATATATATCATCCATACTCAGGTATATAATTAGGGATAGAATTACTGGCTCTCACAGTAATCATGTGTAACATTTTTAGAAAGTAGAAGACTGTTTCCCAAAGTGGCCACATTATTTTACTTTCACTCTAGAAATGCATTAGGAGCTCCATTTTTCTTGTCCTTATCAACATTTATAATCTTGACTTTTTTCCTAGTGTGGAAAAAGGTAGTCTTTTCTGTCAAAACAGTTAAAATAACTCAATTTTATAAAAATCTCAATTTTTATAAAATGAACCTGTGCTTCTTTCATCATTCCTTGGAAACTTTCAATGAAGCAGGTGTGTGCCTGTCTGCCAGGAAACTTTGTAACAGGGCTTTCTGGATCACAATACTTTGCTTAGCAACCATTACCTCATTAAAGTAGCCAATCGGGTTAGATTGTGAAGCCAGGCTCCCACCAACAGAGCCGTGCTCAATGACCACTGTGCCTGGATTTTAGAGATAAAATACCAGTGAACTGCTGGTTCAGTGTGCCTGTCATTTTCTGGCCTTTGTCTGGCAGGGCACCCTTCTGCAGAAATAGTTTGCCTTGCTGAAAAACTTTTCAGGAGTCTAGTTTCTTTTGTCCTGCTTGCAACACCAAAAAATTTATCTCCAACACTAGCGAGGCATTCTACGATACGTGTACGGTTCTGATACACATTTCACTGATGATAAATTATTTTGAACATCTTTTTATGGGCTTGTTAGCTTTTATATTTTTTCTTTGGATAAATCTATTTAAATTTGCTACCCATTGTTAGATTATCTTTTTATTGTTGAGTTGTAAAAGTTTTTTGTATATTCTGTGTCCCTCTTCACATACATGATTGGCACATATTTTTTCCGTTGAGAGTTTTTCATCACATTTTATTCCTATTACTTTAAATAATTCTGTGATAGTCATTATATGGGTAGGCTTGCTTTTTGCTAACTGGAAGTAGGTTGGCACCATAATGAATTTTTAGAACGGAGTTGATTTTTGTAAATGTCATTTTGAAATCTGAATTTCTTTGTGATGTTTTAGGAATTGCTTCTGTCTGAAATGGAGACTACTATTTTACAACCGTATTTGTCTTCATCCCTGCCTCCTCCAGAAGAACTATATGGTGTTCAAGTGAAGCACATTGTCTCTCCTAATGAAGTATGTATGTTGTCTGGGTGATTAGTTGGTGATTGAAAACCACACCAGCATCTGGGTCTTAAATACTAGGCTTGACTCTTCATTTCTCTATCTTCTTGGATTGTAAATAAGAAAAATTAGTGACCTGTGTTGTTGAAATCTACAGTTTTCTTTTTCTTGAGACAGTCTCACTTTCCCAGATTGGCAGAGTAATCCTTCTGCCTCAGCCTCCCAAGTATCAGGGATTACAGGCGTGTGTTACTATGCCTGATTTCCAATTTTGTTATAATTCATGAGGCAGATATTCCTTTTTAATATTTTTTGTTAGTACATGTTTGCACTCCATGGAGTTTACAGTCATGTTGGGGAGTGGCAGTAGGTGTATAATACAATGTATCTTTTAATCCTTATCTCCTTCTTTCCCATACTCCTCTTTCCTTTAGTTCCCCTCTCCCCATTTTTTCTTGTTGAAACTATTAACCTTAGCTCATACTTATGACATACAGTGTTTACACTCATTGAAGTTACTAGGTTTTTGTATATTGCATGTCTTTATTCCTTTTCCCTTCTCCCTCCCTCCTTACCCTCGGTCTTCTGGACCCCTTCCCATTTGTAAGAATAGCCATCCCTTTGTCTCCTTCTGCTCATCTTTTATTATCCTTTGTGTGCACTTGGGCTTACTCAAATGAGAACTGGCATCTGACACTTAAGCTTGTGAGTCTGGCTTACTTGCACAGATGTTTCTTGAGCACCTATGAGCTTCTTATCATTGGCCTTTGTGCACTGTTATGTTTATGCCCTTTCTTTAGGTAAAATACAAACAAAATCTCAGGAATTCCAAAATAATTACTTCAGCCTGTTTCTGCCAGAATGATTACTGTCTAAGTGGAGATATGATGTCTAGCATCTTCCAGTTTTGCCATTTTCCTGGCATCACTTCCCCATAGACGGGATTGGAACACAAACAGAAGAGTTTATGTAGACTTTTTTGATCTTCACAACTGATAGGGATTGAAAATAATGTTTGCCACATCAAAAGCCACATACAGGTGCTAGAGGCTGTGTCGATCTGTTTCAGTAAAGGCAGCATGTCTGGCAAAGCAGCTGCAATTAGAGCTACTGCCTAGTTCAGTTTACATCAAGTCTGTATTACCACACCATTCTCTTTGACCCTCACTTCCGCATTGTGCCTGGGTTGAGAGGCTGATCATAACTTATCATGTTACTTTTTCACATCTTCCAAAGCAAATAATAAATGCTACTCAATTCTACAGTTTTTTATATATCATTGTTCTATACCAGAATACAGTGCCTGACATATGGTAGTCATTTTCTGTGAATACTGACTTGACAGAATGACTAAATCTGCTAAAGGAAATTAATTATATTCCGTGGCCAACAGAAAAAGGAGGAAGTGACAAGTAGCATCTGCAGCTCCTTTAACCTTTTATGCAGTAAGCCAGCGTCCAGGGGCAGGGAAAGAACTCACTACCTAATCTCATCAGAGTACAAGCATAGCAGTATACAGCTGTCACTGGGTTTTATATTCGTATTACCTACGGTGGCATACAGAGTCACTGAAATTCAGCAGCTTAAACAACACATGAGATCCGGAACCCAAGAGCTACTTTGGTCTAACTCAGGCTCATGAGATTGAAGGAAGGTGATAAGAACTATAGAGTCCACTTCCCAAGAAAGCCACTCACGTGGTGCCAGCTAGGCCCTTCAGTGGACTGCACTGCAGTCTCTGCCACAAGTGCCACAGACAAACCCACCCATCCTTACAGTCCAGTCTCAGTATTCCTGCCCTTCCCGGGGTGTGTACTCCGCATGGTGGGATAGCGGAGGAGTAAGCAGCAGCAAAGAGACATCATTGGAGCCACCTGCCACCATCACTTAGTCCACGTATTAGAAATCACAGAACATGACATTTTCTTTCTTCCCTTTTGCCCACTTAGGTATACATTTGCCTTGATTCTGTAGAAAACTGTAGTCAGGTTAACCATCCTAAGGACACCAGTGACAGTCAAGTTAGCTTGGGATCAGAATCGGAGAGCCTCGAAGACGCACTGCAGAGGTGTAACAAAATTGTAAAGACACTTCCTCTGCTGACAGATTTTACAACAGGTATGCTTTTTTGTTTTTAATGAAATAGTATACTTAGTAAAGCTTTATTTTTGTTTGCATGGGCTGAGGAGGCTTGATTATTTCTAACAATAATGGATATTTTGGGGCTGGGGATTTAGCTCAGCGGCATAAGCTCCTACCTGGCAAGCGCAAGGTCGTGAGTTTGATCCCCAGTACTGAAAAAAAAGGATATTTTCCTCAGAATCACTCTATATGCATAATTTTTTTGAATCCTTAAGATATTCTGTAGTAGTCTGCTTTCCATTTCTTTCTATCTTCTGGATTAAGAATGTGAACTAACAGATGTTAAGTGTCTCCTGCGACACTTTCACTTTCCAAAATTCAGGATGTGTTAGAAAATTGACTGCATGATACATAAAGGTGATTTTCCAAGCTTGATGTTTTACTGCTTGTTCAACTTGTGAAAGTTGTCGTTCAGACCTTAATGGCAGTAATTAATTACAAACCACCCTAAGCTGGTTGAGGTAGGAGCTCAGGCTGTCTTGGTCTATGGGGATAGATACAATTCCTTTTTCTCCCCCAGTCCATTCTTCCTATCTTTATGAAATATTTGTGTTTCTCTTCTGAGGAAATATTTCTAGTTGCTGGTATTTATAGTTCCTGAACACCTGAAGTACATATACATTCTTAATACATGATACATTGATACATATTTATGCTTACATTTCTTCCCATATCAAAAAGTATGGTTAGCAAAGAAAAATACATTATTCTGATGTGTTACCTGATTTTTATTCATTGAGTTTTTGTTCCATTTGGGGTGTTGGTTGTCTTATTTTATTTTGTTTTTTGAGATAGTCTTATTAGGTAGTCTAGGCAGACCTCCAGATCGACAGCCCTCCTGCTCAGGCTCCTGAGTGTTCAGACAGCAGGTGTGTGCCACCATGTTCAGTTTCAGTGAGACTTCAATGAGCTTTGACTCACTTTCAGCTAACAGTGTTAGGTTTCTGTCTGCCTGGAACGCTTCTACCCCCACGGACACTACATCTCTATTCACCTCTCCTTTTGTTGTCTGTGTTCTCTGACCTCTCTGTATGCAGCAGTGTCACCTCCTTGTCCCATAGTCCCTCTCTGTCCTTCCTCAAAATAGCACTGTGAGCAAATGACTCTGTTGCTCTCCAGCAGTTAGAAACATACCTGGCACAAGCTGATGTTCATAAAATATAAAATGAGTGAGAGAATAAACGCAGTATGAGGGGCTTTTCTAACACTCAGATTTAGTTATAGAAAGAATATTTCCTTCCTCGTTTTTACTCATGTCTCAAAACCACACAATTTGTGCATAATATAATCTGTGAATCTATACATACATAATTTGAGTATTTAAAGTTTTAAAAATTCCACATATGGTAGCTAAAAAAATTATATTGAAGTTTTTATGGGTCAATAAAAATTAGGTGGGAGGTTTTAAATGGTATTTTGAGTAGATAAAACACAAGTTGTTTTTAAAGCCAGAAAGCTAAAAGTTGGAAGGGATGGTTGATAGCAGTTCAGTTAATTTACTATGAAGAACAGCTCTGTTAGATGAGATGCTTTCCTGGTTTTTTTTTTCACTTAAGCATTTACTTGTAGTTCAAGAAGAAATACAAATAAAATTTGTATAAACACAAATCTACATGGAGTCAAAACACATAAAAAGACAAAGTGAAAACAAGTGTTTTCCTGCAAGATGTATTTCTTTAGCATCTCCTGTTGACTCCACTGTCCTCCCTTTTGCTATAGCTGGTAATTATTCTGATTACAGCCACCCCTTCAAGATGACTTGCTGTAAGTGCTCTGCTGACCACGTCCTGTCTGTGTCTGTAGTCCCGTAATCACATCCAGGATAGGGTCTGCCATAGCCATTGCAGCTTTGGCCATCACTGTGGATTCTATTGTGATTTCCAAATCCTTGATCATTATAATTATTAAACACTTTGTTCCAACTGTTCTGTTGATGAGTTTATATTTTCAAGAAGTAACTCTTTAATAAAAATTCATTGGAGGGGCTAAGGAAAGAGTGCTGAATTCCAGCCCCCCACAAAGGTAAATTTTAAAGTATCATTTGAAATAAAAATCTTTTATTAACATGTTGTATTTCACCTGCACATTTCTCTTGTGGAATTTACGTAGATTTTGATGACATAAAGGGAAAGGGAACAGTGTAGAGTAAGACAAAATTGAACCATATGCCATCTAGTCTGAAATTTAGCAGGTTATAAAAGAAAGGGAAATATATACTGCATTGCTTTTCCCAGTTTTACTCACCCTTCATTAGCACTTTTTACTGAGCACTTGCTTGTACTAGTTACCATATTAGAAATGTAAACCAGTTCTTGAAAGCAAGTGGGTGGAAAAAAGACATAGGTGAACCAAGTACACTCAAAAGACCACCACTGAATCACAAAGAAAGCAGTGCTTTGTTAATAGGATTTTGTCAGGTTTTGTTGGAGCTGGGCTTTGAAAGAAGAGTAGATGTTAATCATAAAACAGAAAGGCTCAGGAGAACATTTTTTAGATAGAGGGACAGACAAGTAGAGGCATTAAGGTTTCATTGTTATTTTCAAAAAAAAACAGATAACATACTTTCTTTTTAGTAAACTAAGCTAAACTTGTATAAATGTAACAAAGTAACATATATATTGAGATGTTTTAAAAACAGTGAAATACAAATTGGGGAAGTATTTGAACTCCTACTTCCTATTAATCTCTTGTATTTCTCTCCCTTCCTTTCCTCCCTCCCCCCTCTCTCCATCTGTAATGTTTCTCAGATAAGAGAAACCATGTGGTACTTGAGCTTATGTGTCTGATTTATTTCACTTAACATGATGTTCTCAAGTTCCTCCCTTTAACTACAGATGCCTCAGGTTATTTTTCTTTATGATAGATAGCATAGGACTCCATTGTGTATAAATACATTTTCCTTCTCTGGCATTAAGGTTTTAAGAAATTGTGTCTGGGTGACTCATGGAGCCGATGCAGTGTTTGGGAAGATGCAAGATGCCTGTAAATGCCAGTGCTAAGGAATCAGTAACAGACAGTTAAGATGCTGCGGAGTAATTTTAAGAGCAGTATACCTGGATTTTTAACACTTAATACTGGTAGCCTTACAGAGAGTGGGTTGGAAGAGGACAGGACGGAAGACAGGAACTGCAGCAGCTGTACTTACCACCCTTTACAGGTGATGACCCAAAGGAGGTTTGAGAGTGAGAAGTGGGGCTGGCGGCAGGAGGCCCACAGCCATGGGAGCAGGACTAGCACTCTGTAAATGGGAACGTGCCTTCAAAACTTAATGCTCAGGATTAGTAAAGAAGTGTTCAGTTCACTATTAATTTTGGATGGTTGAATATGATTGTCAGACTGATTGACTTTGTATTTTTCTATATTGGATCTTTTTTTTAAAAAAAAAAGATAATTTTATTATCTTTTCCCCTTTTCTGCCTTTCCAGAAATGCCTTGCCTTGCAGAATATGCTGATGGCTTATGGTACAGAGCAAAAATTATTTCCATTAAAGAATTTAATCCTTTATCTGTCCTGGTACAGTTTGTCGATTATGGATCAACTGAAAAGTTAACACTACACAGGTAAAAGGAAAGGTCACGTGAATAAGGCTTCTAAGGTCTGTTTCAGCATTTTTTTTTTTCCTTTATAGGAGGATTTTTACCTCTTTTAAAAGCAAAGGGCTATTTTAAAGCTGTTTATAAATTAGGAATTTTTTAATCTAGACTTTTTGTGAGGAAACATACATAAACTTTACCATTTTAGCTAAACTGTACAATTGACTTTAAGTACATTTGCAGTGGTAAACAGTTATTACCACTTTCCACCTCTGGAACTTTTTCATTAACACGTTCTGACTAGGGTGTATGTAATTTGTCTTGCTGCCCAATGGGACAGTCACTTTCACAGCTCTGCTGATTCAAGCTGGCAAGAATGTGTTAATCCAAATAGAAGCTCAGAACCCATTCAACAATAGCATTCCATTCCATTCCATCTTGTTATTTCTGTCATCTTATTTTCTGTCTACATTTTCATATGCTAGGCACCTCATGTCTAAGTAAAATCATACAGTAGTCATCCTTTTTTCACTGGCTTATTTCACTTAGCCTGTTTCCAGGATTAATTCATGTCATAAGATGTGCCAGAATGTTCTTCCTTTTTAACACAGAATCATAACCTTATGTGCAGACCACATCTCATTTATCCATGCAGCCATCAGTAATGCTTCAGCCTTTTGCCTGTTGTGAGCCCTACTCCTATGAACATGTATGTATACATTTCTCTGAGACCCTGCTTTCAATTACTTTGGGCATATCCCCCAGAAATGGAATTGCTAAATCGTATGAATTTCTAGTTTCCTTAAGGAATGTATTTGCTGTAGTGGCTGCACCACTTCACAGTCCGCATAGTGCTTGAGGCTTCCATTTTCCACACCCAGGGTAACAGTTACTTTGTTTTCCGAGGGTTGAAGGAGTGTCTTGGCAGTGCCATCCTAAGGTGTGCACAGTGGTTTCTCACTGCACATTTGATTTACTCCCTAATGATCGTAACATTGAGCTTCGTGGCACCAGGTTTTTATTGTAACCCCTTATTTATCATCTTTGGAGAAATGTCCATTTTTACACATATGTTCTCTCATCTGCAGGCTTTTTCACTGTTGACTGTCTTTTAAGGCACAGAAGTTTTTAATTTTGAAGTCCATTTCATCTGATTTTTCTTTCATTGGCTGTGTTTTTGGTATCACAATCCAAATAACCATTGCAAAACTCATTGAAGTTCTTTCCTTGCTTTTGTCTAAGAGTTTTAGTTATAAGAATATTTGAATTGACACACTGAACATTTTCAGAATTTCTTTTTGTGACAGACTGCGTCAGATTCCTCCTCATCTTATGCAGTATCCCGCCCAAGCCATAAAGGTCCTCTTGGCAGGGTTTAAACCGCCCTTGAGGGACACAGGAAAGATAAGAATACCATACTGTCCCAAGTGGAGCATGGAGGCATTGTGGACTATGATAGACTGTCTTCAAGGAAAACAGCTTTATGCTTCTTCCATGGTAAATGGGTTTTTTTTTGGGGGGGGGGTTCCTTTTTATTGGTACCAGGGATCGAACTCACGACTGCCTGCTTGCAAGGCAGGCGCTTATGCCGCTGAGCTAAATCCCCAGCCCCGGTAAATGGTTTTAATTAGCCAAAATCCTCTTACAGTTATTTTCACAGTACCTGTTAATTTTTTTGTGTGTTAATTTATTTTTTTTTCTTAGTTCTTTTTTTTTTTTTTTTTTTTTGGTCTTTTTCCTTTTTATCAGTACCAGGGATCGAACTCACGACTACCTGCTTGCAAGGCAGGCACTTATGCCGCTGAGCTAAATCCCCAGCCCCCTTAGTTCATTTTTTTAAAAGCAGAAATGTTTATTAAAAGGGATCCCGAGTGAGCTGCCAAAGATTCTGTCTTTTCTAGGGATTTTTATGGAAGTGTTTGTTAATTAGAAGTGCTGTGTGCCTCTGCAACTCTCCATGGGGAAAAATGTAATAAAACACATAAAGCTATGGCTATAGGAATTTTAAAGCTTTTAGAAATTTTAATTTATATTTAACAAACTGTATTAGCCCTAGGCTGATGAGATTAAAATGATCAATCAAGATATATATTGTACTGCACATGGTGACGTACACCTGTAATCCTAGCACTCCAAAGCTGAGGCAGGGAGATCACCAGGAGTTCAAGGCCAGTCTGGGATACTTAATTCAAGATCAGCCTACACTACATGGTGAGACCTTGTCTCAAAACAAATAATGAAACAAAACAAAAAAGAATAACAAAAAAAGATGTGCATTGTATAATAAAAGAACTTGTAAGTCAGTCGAGGGAAACAAGCATACCAAACACTAACACAAGGTAGAATGAAGTGTTACGGTAGAAGTACAGGTACCTTTGTGAGGCACAGGGAGTGAAGGATGATTATTTCCATGTAGAAGGAGCTGGAAAAGGTAGTGAAGTAGTTTCTTAGTAGGTATGGAGATGACTAAGTAGGAAATGTCATCTGAGCTGTGCTCTGAAAAGCGAGTAGGAGAAACCAGGACAGGTGTTACAATCATAGAAATGCTTGCATTTATCAAAACTCCAGGTGGTGCTTAAACTTTTCTTCTTCCAAAGCCTGGCATGTGTGGGGTATTTTTTGTGGTACTGGAGATCAAAACTCGTGACCTCATACTTGTCAGGCAGGCACTTACACTAAGGTAAATCCCCAACCCTGAATAAACTTTAACAGGGATGGTGGTACTAAATAAAGCCCACAGGCTCTATCCAGGAGAACTTTGATGTTTAATTACAGCTTATAGTGAAAGAAATGAGATTGAGCAGGAAGACATCACAGATGGCCCCTGAAAATACAGAGCATAAACTAGAAATAAACCTAAAGATTGCCTTTACTCTTTTGTGTGGGTGGCCAGCTAGAGAAAGGAAAGGGCAGAAAAGATGTAATTGGGTTTTCTTGACAAACCATCTGTTTCAAATTGTAGGCTCAGGCACCAGAACAAATGGTAGCCTTATATGAAGAGGAACAGTATCCAGTCTATATGCCATTAGTAGACATGGGACTTGCAGACAGGGATGAATGATGTAAGTATATTCTTGTCCATTCTGCTGGTCAGCACAAAGCACAGGACTGTCCAGCAAATGAATGTTCCCCAAGAAATGGCAACAAAGCTCTACAAGAATATTCAGATTTCTTAAAGACCTTTCTCATTGCGTGAGCAACCAGTATCAAAGATAATGCTCAAAATGGCTTTTGTGGCTGTTCTAGTACCAAATGGGGAAGGAGGATGGGAGACACCGTGAGTAGTTTAGGCACATGAACGTGTGGAATGTAGTAGAACTCCTCCACAGTCAGCAGTGTAGTAACCAGCAGTGTAGTTACCAAGTCATCAGGGTAATCAACTACATCATGTTGATCTATGCAGTTCTAACCAGTGACTCAGCAGCTAGGAAACAATAAGCAAAGTAATGCTTCCTCAATAGCATGTTGTTTTTCAGGTACATGGAGCACAGCATCTGTAGCAGCCCGGAGGAAACTACACTGCATTCAGACCCTTTTGGACTGTTCTACAATGGTGCTGTTCTTTCCCACCCTAATCCTTATATGTTGAACTGTTAAAAGAGTTGTGAGAAATATCAGAATAGTAATAAATATTTGCTTTCAAACATTTTTATTTTGCTATATTTTCAAAATGAAATGGACAAGGCACTTTTCACTTGTTTTTAAGGTACTGGGGAATTGAACCAAGCTCTCTCACACTCAGCTATGCACCCAGCTTTTTAATTTTTGAGCTTAGCTCATAACTAATGATTCAGCTTAAGAAATAAACTGTTTCATGAATTTCCCAGAGAAATGTAAAAGACGTCTGCCCCAATGTGGCGGGGAGGGGGGGGGGTACATAGAAGTGACTGACAGGTCTAGTTTGGTCAGTCGGCGGTGAGTTTATTAGGGTTTCTGACAAAGCAGTCAGTGGCTAGCACCACCAAAGTGACCAATCCCCCTGCACCAAGTTACCACTATTACATAGATGGGTCAAAAGCAGTTGGAAAGAGCTTGCTCTCAGCCCATCCTCCCCAGGAAGCTCCGGCTGGTCCCAGGAAACACTGTCTAGCCACAGTGAGGGGTGACCTTTGTGTCACAGCAGGCGGGGCCACCAAGACACCCAGCTGTTCCATTTGAGGTTTGTCGCATAGTTCTCAACAGACAGCAGCCACCCAGGCCCCGTGGTGTTCTGTCCCATGGTGCTATGCTCCCTGCCAGATGGTCATGCTCGCACAGGGCTGTAGGCTTACTACCTAAGAACATTTCCACACAGAGGACACTAGTGTTCCTGTGTATTTTAGCTGTGTGAGAGGTTTTGATTTGCACTGTTTATCAGTGTTGGTATGTATGGCTCTTCTCTCACTGCTATATAGTGTTACTTACGAGGGTACTAGTTTTCTCAATTACAGATACTCTGCAGGTCCTTTATATAGCTGTAACTTTTCCGTGTATATGTATTTACATATATACACTTGTTTATGTCCATGTTCATACGTTACTTTCTACAAAGTAGTTACCAGTTCATCAGTTATCAGCTTGTGGTACAACTAGACCACTATCAAACTAGTGCCGGATTCTGACACCAGTATAAGTGATCTCACTGTTTTGGTCAAGTACACACAGGCTGGGGATTTGACTCAGTAGCTCAAGCACTTGCCTGGTAAGTACAAGGTGAGTTCAATTCCCAGTACAAAGACAATCTTGAGTATACACGGGTTCATTAGTACTAGTGACGCCTCACTTCTGTCAGCCAAAAGCTTTAGTTGTGGTACCATCAATGCACCAGCGGGCCACTGGGTAGCCCCGGCTAGCTACTGCTCATGCCCAATTTGACTCAGCAACAAGTGACATGATCAGCCTTGGTATAACTTTTCTCCTAGGATTACTACCTACTAATACCTATAGCACTGTTTGAACTCTTTGTATTCATTAATTTCAGTAACACTCGGGGGCCCCAAGAGAGATTTTCAAGGTTGAGGTCCCAAGGTTAAAGAACACACACGTGCAAGACAACAGCAGAGCAGCACAGCACACAAGGGTGAGAGCCGCCTGTGGAATTACTGTGTAATTCTTACACAGGTTACCTCCTGTTTACTTCCTTCCGTAGTCTGTAACCAGCATCACCTGTGCTGAGTCATGGTTACACACCTTCTCCTGCTGTGCACCTGCGCTAAACAAGGAAGGTCCTGGCCTCAGGTGTCCCTGGTTACCCCTCAGCTTTGAAACAGTCTGAGTGATTCCCCACAGCCCTGTAGCAGACTAATTTATCAACAGAACACAGTACTATTTAGGCTGGAGACAGTCAGTGTCTTGCTCCTTGAATACCCTTCACTACAAGTGCATGTTCAGTGGCTAAGGGGCCTGTGGCATGTCTGAAAGACACTTCTTGGTTTTCATAACCATCTCCAACCAGAAACACAGTATTTTAAAATAAAAATAATGCATTCCTTAATCTAACTGTAGAGAAGCAGGAAAGGTGAATTATAAACAAATGCCATCCTTGTATATTTAAAGAATATTAAAAATGAAGCTCTTCTAATTAGCTTTTATTTTAGAATTCATGTTTACCATTTAGACACAGCAGTTAAACAATCGTCCACAGGAAGTGTATCTTTTAAACGGGCAGTGTGACTTCACAATCGTCACTGGAGCATTACAGTTCTGTGTCCATGAGGACATTACCATCTTTGTCTTTAACTCTTACTCGGCCAGATGTGTACTTTGTCTCTTGATGACCATTTGCATACACAGTTTTAACAGTGCCATCTGGATATTCCCGTCTCTTGAACTGTGCAGTATGAAGTTCTCTTTGGCCATTATTAAATTCTATGATTTTCTCACCATCACTGTAAAATTTAAAATAGAATTTAATTTCTTAAAAATACGAAGTATGCCAAGGGTGGTGGCACACACCTGTAATCCCAGCACTGAGGAGGCAGAGGCAAGAGGCTCACCATGAGTTTGAGGCCAGCCTCCTAAGCAAGTACAAAGCCAGGGTGCACTACATAGGGAGACGTATGAAGTAGGGCTGGGTGGTAGAGCATTTGCCGATCCTGTGTTACACCCTGGGTTCAAGCCCAACACTGGAGAGGAAAATGTTTTGAAAGTAGGCTTTTGATTCTGACTCGTCTCGTGGTCCATTTCCCTCGATAGCTGCAAATTCTCTGGATAGTATTTGTGCTTTAGTTTAACAGCCCAGTTATCAGATTAGCACTTATACCCAAGGGAAGCTTTTTAAAAATAAATTTACAAGGGGCTGGGAATATAGCTCAGCAGCATAAGTGTCTGCCCAGCAGGTGCCAGGTCATGAGTTTGATCCCTGGTAACAAAAGTAATTAACTAATCCATTAATTTACACTTAATTCAAATGGTGGTGATAAGAAAACAAATATACACATAATAGTGTACACCTGTAATTTTGGTGCTCCGAGAAAGCTAAATCGGGAAGATCCCAAGTCTAGAGCCCAAGCTTGGTACCTTAGTGAGATCTTGTCTCAAAATAATTTCTTCAAAATTTTTGGGTTAGTACACGTCCATAGTAGTTGATGCCCACACTCCATGTGGAGAGTTGATGTGTGTACCTAACACACCCTTAATTCTTTTTGTCATCCTTTCCTCGCCTCATATCTCTTGGTGCACAATGTGTATGTGTGTGTATTTGTGTGTGTAAATATATGGCTTTTTTGTTTTTCTGAGACAGGTTCTTGCTGAAGCACTCCAGTCCAGGTTGGCCTCATACACCATTCCTCCAGCCTCAGCCTCCCAAGTGCTAGGGCTATGGACATGCGCCACCACGCCCAGCTTCCGCTATCTTTTATTTTGCTCTTTATTTTTACCTACTACATTCACCATAAAAAATTTCTGTATTATCTGAATTTAATATTTTTACCTTTTTTTCTTACTACTATGATTGATGTGTTAACTTGTATTCAGATTGATGGTACTAAACTCTCACAGTCCAGGAAAGGAACAGGAAAGACTAAAAACAATCCACTAGATTTGACAAACCTTAGTTAAAATGATGGGGATAAGAAGCTCTTTATCATTAGCATGATTTGTGCAGCCAGGGACATACAAGTTTAACAAATGTAAGCCAGGGGTTATGTCTCACATCTGTAATCCCAGCACTCCGAAAAGCTAGGGCAAGAGGACTGTGTACAAGCCCAGCCTGGGTAACTGAGTGACTTAGTGAGACTCTGTTTCAGTAAACCCCAAACAAGGGCTCGGCATGCAACTCAGTACAAAGACCACCAGGTCCAATCTCCAGTACCAACCAGTAGGCTGTCTGCCTTGTTTCTGTCTTATTCATTGTTTTAAAATTTGCCCCCCACAATAGCATATAAATAAAAAAAAAAAAATAGAATTTGCCCAACCTTACTTTTGAACAAATACTTGCCATTTCCATCCCTTTCCTAGAATGCTGTGCGGGCCCCTCTGAATCCCTAGGGTAAATACTGACTCCATCACCTCACAAGTTCTAACTTCACGCTGTTAAACATGTTTCACTTGCTCGGTGTTTGTTTCACTTGTGAACTCACTGAAACTTCAAGTGATTTATACACAAATATTTAAATTTTTAACCTTTCAACTGAAATCAAAGCTGAACCACAGACATTGGAGAATCACGAAGCAGAGAGAGCAGATCCCATACCGTTGCACTCTCACAACTGTGCCGTCTGGAAAGATGCTTTCCTCTTGGCCGTCAGCAAACAAGTTTTTAATGGTCTGATCAGGAAATGTGATTTCTTTTCTTCCATCTGGGAAATGTTTTTCTATTTAAAAAAGGTCACTGTAAATACTTTCAAAGGAAGGGAAGAATGTACCAACAGAGGCAGAGTAAGTGTATACCTATTTGTCCACTTGAGAAGTGTAGAACTTCAAGTCCTTCGGGGTGCGTGGTGTGGGTGGTCTGGGCCGCAGCATAATAGTAGATCTGTAAAGACACGCATCAGGACACTGCTCTCTCTACAAGGGCTTCCGAGGGACACTGCCCTGGGGAACATACCACTCTGCCGTCGGGCATGACCTGCTTCACATCACCATTAAAGAAAGTGACAGTGATGCTCTTCCCATCTGCGCTCACTTCTTTCTGAGTTCCATTAGGAAACAGTATAATCTGGTAGCCATTCTTATAAATCTTTTCCACCTAAGAAAGACACCATTATTGGTGGGTTAGAGTTCTTGAAATCACATGACCATGGTAAACCAAATCCTAAATGCTTCCTTTAATTTTCTCACAATAAAAAGGAAAACATTCCCTCAAAAGGAGAGATTTTTAATTACATTAGGGGTTGCAAACTGGTGATATTTTAAATTTGCTCATTCCTTTCCTCTTTATTGGCTGAATTCATCCAAAACAGAAAACCTTTCCTTTTCAGTGACTTGTTGCCACACATGCCACTTGAGGAAAGCCTGACTGCCTCCTTTCACCACTGTTCTCCACCCTGTCTGCCACAGGCCCGTCATTTCTATTACAGGGGACAGTGAGTAGATAAAGGTGCCTGGAGAGCACAGCCTCAGTGAATCTCAGGAACAAAGCTCTCCTCCCCTCCTCCTGACAAACCCAGATTGTCTCCATTCCCGCCTTCCCTTTCAGCTGGGAGGCCTGGCTAGACACAATCCTAAGTGGGCTGAAGATGGAAGGCAAGAAAGCCTTACAGAAAGGGGTTGGAAGCAGCTATGCAGGCTTTTAAAAACCTTTAAAAACTTTGTTCACCACAAGAGCCCAATTAAACAGTGGCACTGGGGGCTGGGGATTTAGCTCAGCAGCATAAGTGCCTGCCTTGCAAGCAGGCAGTCTTGAGTTCGATCCCCGGTACCGATAAAAAGGAAAAAGACAAAAAAAAAAAAAAAAAACAGTGGCACTGTATTCTATGTTACACCAGTAAACTAGAAATGGTGAGGAAATGACTGACAGGAGCACAGAGGTTCATGACCCACGGTCCGGACAGCTGACATTATTCAAGGTCTCTGAGACTGGGGTGGCAGTGGGTTACTCTGAGGCTCGCAGTGATGCAAACCAACTTCACTGGCAGCCGTGGGAAAGTACGGAACACACAGCTCTGTAAAGTGCATAATACTCGAGAGGAACTGTTAACTGGATCGTGTACATTCTACACTATACTTTTTAAATACATTCTTATTAAAAATATATATAAATTAAAAATTTTTTAAATATTCTTAATTAAATTCTGTGAACAGGAAGCCATGCTTCACCAGCACCAGCCTTACACATCTTGTACACTCACTACATTTCTTGATTGTATGATCTTCTAATGTTGTGCTTCATATGTTTGTGGTGTTTCACTTATGACGTTCCTAAGGCCCACAGACTGTCGTGCACAAAGATCATCTTTATGTGTGTCCAGGGCAGAGTGTATACCATCACTCTACACTGTTTACACTGTGACACACACACACACACCCAACAGGGAGTTCTCACACGTATGCCTCCCTGTGAAGCAGTATATGACCATACTTTTAAGCATTTCCATTCTGTTTCAGCCCATATTCATTTTTTACATTTAAAAAAAAAAATCAACCTTTCCATCAGGATGACTGATTTCTTCCTGAATTTCTTGGTTTTTTTCCTTTCTATATTCAGGGTCTAGGAGGCTGATTGGTTTAAATGGCTCCCTGGGCAAGGCAGCCTGTAAGAAGACATTAGAGCAGTTAAAACACTTATTTATTAAAGACAGATGCTAACCTTACATAACCTTACAGATGCTAGGACTAGATTTGGTGTCATACAGAAAACATAATCTTAAAATCATACTTCATACATGGTTTACAAAACATCGAATCAATTTCAAGCCTGAGTAATCCACACGTGAATATACAGAAATATAAAAATATTTACTTGCAGGGGCTGGGGATTTAGCTCAGTGGCATAAGCACCTGCCTTGCAAGCAGGCAGTCGTGAGTTCAATCCCCGGTACCGATAAAAAGGAAAAAGACCAAAAAAAAAAAATATATATATATATATTTACTTGTTCTTTATCAGAGCTGCCTAACTCCTGTGGAGGTACAGACTTGGATCTTCGAGATGGATTCCCTGTCAGAATATAATTGTGAAAGTTAGGTTCAATATTATAAAACTACCAGCCTGGGGAACAAAATGAGTTAAGACCAGCCTGAACTGCACAGCGAGACCCTGTCTCAAAAGACAAAAAAGGCAGCTAGATCTAACACAGTCACCATCTGAAAGCTTGCTTCCCACAGGCAGCCAGCAGGGGCAGGGGGACGCAGCCAGATATGCCCCTGTGCACCCACAGGCTGCAATTGGAAATCATGGCTTCCTCTGGGCACTGGGAGAATCAAGACAAACACACCCCTGCATGCCTGCCACCATCAGGGGAGCTCCACTGCAGACACCCAGACTAAGCAGCAGCCCTGCCGCCTCACACACCTCTGGTGACCCAGGAAACCTCACTGTAGCTGCACAGGTCTGGAGACACTGCTCTCTCCCGGAGCCAGTGCCATTCCCCTGCACCGTAGAGGGGCAGCCAATGTTAGAAGAGCCTGGACCCCACAACAGACTTGGGAGGAACTGAGGAAAATGTCAAGACAATGGAGCAAAAGACAATCTCAGAGCTTCAGCCCACACAGAACAAGTCTCAGAGAGAAAGTTGTGGAATAAAATGGAGGTCACACACCTGAAATCTCCAAGAAAACAGCAACTGAAACAACTTCAATGAGACTGAAACAACTTCATGAGACTGTAAAAGTAATCAGGTCAAAAATAATGTCTCAGGTAAAAGAAGAAATCACAAACATACTTAATGTAAAAATTACCAAGCATATCTAAAGAAGACAGATTAAAAAAGAGGAGCATAGGGAAAAGATGGAAACCTTGAATGAACAATATAGGAAGGAATTATAATGCATGAAAGAGATTCAGAGATAACCAGGAAATTAAAAAGTCAATCGAAAGCTGGCAAAACTGTTACAAAGAGACAGAAGATGGACTCCGAGACCCTGAAGACAGGATTGCAGCTAGTGATCAGGAAAGGAAAGATCTCTTAAAAATAACAGGAAATAACAATTCAGTGGCTGCAAGACAACACAAAGAAAAATAATGAGTGACAGGTATCAGGGAAAAAGCAGAGGTCAACACAAATGATATAAAAAGACTTATTTACAGAAGTAATAGCAGAAAACTTCCCAAACATGGGAAAAGGAGCTGGCATGCAGATAAGCGAGAGATACAGAACTCCAACTAGCCATAACCAAAGTAAATCTACACCCACACATATATAATAAGATCCCAGAAATCTAGCACAAGAATGGAGTATTAAAAGCTGTTAGAAAAAAAGAGACAGATCACCTATAAAGGAAAACCAATCAGAACCACAACAGGCTTCTCAACACAATCATGTCACAAAGAATTTGGAGTGAAGTTTTTCAAATCCTGAAAGAAAACAATTTCCAAACCAGATTGATGTACCCTTGCAAAACTATCTTTCAAAATTGGTAGAAAAATAACATACTTCCATGATAAAGAACTGAAGGAATTCACGACCACCAAACTAACCCTACCTGAGACTGCTGGAGGAGAGAGACTGCTAGAGAGCAAGAAACCCTACTGAGACTGCTAGAGAGAGAGAAAGAAGGCCATGGTTCCAGGAACAGCAGAAGAGGGGATCACCAAACAAGACAGGCAACTGAATGAAGGGGGAAAGTGGAGGGCCAACAGCAAGAGGACACGATGGCAGAGATGAAACAATGCATCCCAGCTGTAACCATTAATGTAGATGGCCTCAGTTCACCAATAAAAAGAAACAAGGAAAATGGATCAAGAAACAAGATTCAGGGCCAAGGATTTAGCTCAGTGATGTAAGTGCCTACCTGGTAAGCACAATGAGACACCATCTCACATATGACTGAGTGTAATAGCCTGACTAGATCAAATGTTAACAAGTACCAGGTATATATTCTGCAGAGCGTAAAAAGCTGGCATAGCCAAGTCTCAAAGCGAAACCTCAGCGCACAAACCTCACATGCCCAGCACCCTATTCCTGACATGGACTCTAGAGAAAGGCACTCCATGGAGACTTGCTCTGATATCTGCTCATTAACCTGCCCGCCTACCAACAGGAACACAGCCTTGGAGATACAGCAGAGACCCATGAGCCGCTGCAATGAATCACCTGGAGCTTTTAATCATTAATGTGGGTTAATGTGACAATAGCGAAAGAGAAAAAAGCAAACTGCAAAAGAATAGAGCATGAAGTAACAACAGATCAACTTATGGGTATAGTGAAGTAAAAGAATTTTTTAAAAAGCATAGAAGGCTATCAGGAGTCATTTTCTGGTGGAGTAAAATGAGGCACAAAAGCTTCAACTACATTTACAATGTTTTATTTCTTATTGTGTATAAGTTTGCTATTCTTAAATTCTGAAAAATATCACACAGCCTCTTACCATGTTTTGGCAAACAGTTTTTCTTATACTTTTCCCCCTGGGTTCCTGAAGAAATGTGGCTTTTTTGGTATCGAACAGATGTGTTCTATAGTGGGAGACAAAATTTTGAATGTAAAATATTGAAAATAATGTTAGTCTACATGTAAGTGTAATGTGTGAAGCTAAACTTAGCTAGTAATGAGGAAATTGCAGGCCTATTCATTTCTGTTCTCATCACAGTACGTCAAAAGTTGAACTACTGTTGGGCATGAAACATACACACACAAACGTGTGCACACACACAGGCACGAGCTCTGACACACACATACTCTTCAGGTTGGGACCCGAAGACAGTGCAATCAGACCACAGACCCATCTGTCATGGTTGGCCACTTCCAGGAGCTGCCCTGACAACCTCTCTGGCCAAGTGCAGCTCTCCCTAGAACTTGCTTTGTTCCCACCACTAGGATGAGGCTTCCTTCTCCCCTCTCCTCTGCCCAACACCCACCCTTGGACTCTTGCTCCTAGAAGGCTCTGCACCCCTGCCAGATGATATGTCCTGCACCTTGGTGTGAGTGTGTTGATCTAATCTTCCTGCGAACTGTACTCCGCTGCCTCAGCTAGACAACCAATGGGTAAACTCCAGATGATACCATCCTCAATGCTATCAAAATATGCAATCAATCAATAAGTGCAAAAGTCATGCTTCAAAGAATTTCAACACTTTCCAATAACAAGACACAAAACATGGCACATTCCACAAAATAATTAGCTTGGCATCTTCAAAAACTCAATGCCATTCAGTAAAGTGCTGAAACATTTAAGGATGGGATATTATGATTTCTGTAATTACCTTCAAACTGTTTAGCAAAACATGTACAAACAGGCAAAAATGTTTACGGGCTGAGTGCAGGTCACCATATTCTTTCACCTACTCTGCTCTGGGAGGGAGGCTTTCATAATAAAGTGTTTGTGGAACAGAGGAAAACATCTTCACAGCTTATCTTCGGGCTTTCTGCTCTAACACACCCTGACAATGGCAACATCCCTACAATCTGAGCTACTTAGTACATCTATATGCATGGCTCAGAACCTCTAGCACAACTTAAATTCAGGGTTCATTAAATGATACTGTCACATGCACTGCCAGTTCCCATGTCCCTTTCTCACCTGTCATTTAATTGGGTGACCATGCCTCTGCTAATACAGAACTCCCTCCACCCTTCAGCCAAAACTTGAATGAGAAAAAGCCAATGGGAACATCTGCTGCTCACACAAGTGTCTTACCGTCACATCTCTTGTCAAGTTCATCAACAAATCTGCTCTATTCCTAGTCTGAATTCCTGCAGCTGTCTTCATGTTCCTAACCCTCTACAGGTCAGTCTGCAGGACACAGGGAGCATACTACAAGAAAGGAGCAGCCCATCCTGTGCCCTGGGAACTCCCAAATTACTTGGGAGACCCTTGAAAGCCTTATGACCCGCTCCCTAAGGCCCCCCCACTCCTGACCACGCACATCCTGGCCTTTCTGGCCACAGGCATGTCCTGCTCCTCCTGCAGAACACCGTCAAGTGGAGCACCCTGGGCCCAAACTCCTAGCCAGACCCGCCTCACCTGTCTTGCCTGGTCTCCACACTGTCTCCCATGCCCACCTTGCACATTCATCCTCCATATTCAGTCTTTGTGCCACTGCTATACTGTGAGAGACAGGAGGGTGAGAAATTCTGTTCTGCTCTTCATTGCACCCCAGGGCACGATGTCTCCAATAGCTCAGTTCATTGACAGATCCAGGAGACCAGATATTTAGTCAGAAAGGAGTCAATGCCTGTGACTGCAAAACTTCAGCTGTACTTGACATTTCAACCGAGGTCATCTGCCTACTGCATAGCTCCTTTGTAAGAATTATAAGAACGCATTTGGAAAGTACCTATATGAAATTCTTTTCATTGTGGTAAAATGCACATGACTTAAAATTCGCTACCTACAATGTTAAACATACAATTAAGTGGCATAACTGTGTTACTAATGTACCACCACAACTTTCACCCATCTCTGGAACTTCTTTATCTTGTAACACTGAAACCTTATACCCACTAAACCCATTCCTCCTGCCCTCCCTGGCCCCTAGCACCCACCACTGCACTTTTTGTCTTCACCCACTCAGACCTGGAAAAACCAGCTGGCACCCAAACCTACCAGGGATTCGTCTCTCTTCCTGGCAGTCACACATTGGTAAGCCTTAGGGCTGCTCTCAATAGCTTCTGCTTTCTTCCAGGCATCCAGCCGGAATCTTTCCATCACTTTTATCTCTTCTCGGAGGTCTGTATTCTCTCTGACTAACATTTCTATCTGGCTTCTTAGACGCCCATATGTGCTTGACCATTTTGTTTCCTTCTTTTTCAAATCTTCTTGTAAGTCTTCTATTTGCTGTTTCAAAGCCTCCCAAAAACAAACAAAAAAAACCCTTTGAATTAAAACAATATAAGAAAAAGAGAAGTATCAGTGAAACAACACCCAGCCATACAGATTTAAAAAAAAAAAAGGAGGGGTTGAGGATTTAGCTCAGCGGCATAAATGCCTGCCTTGCAAGCAGGCAGTCGTGAGTTCGATCCCCAGTACCAATAAAAAGGAAAAAGACAAAAAAAAAGGCATGCTTGGTAAGGAAATGATAATGGATTTTCACAAAGAGGAGCAAGCAGCAGATTATAGCCTCTGCACGGGAGGAAACGGTTCAGACCTGCAGACACATGGTAACCACTGGCAACCCCAAAGACCTCCACAGAAAGAGATATTACAGAGGAATGGAGCAGTGATCATGGACTGCACAGGCTGGTGAGTGTTACGGATTTGGCCATTTTGCATGAGACAGCGATTGGCCTGGGGTCATCTTGGAGGAGGTGGGGAGACTGAGCATGGAACTCAGAACAACTGCAGGCTCCATCCAGCAGCTCCCTGGTGAATTTCCCTGGTGAATTTAAGTCTACAGAAGGTGTACTGGCTGGCTCACTGCCAGAAATCAGCCTCAATTTCAGGGGAAATAAAGGTACAGACTCACTGAGATTATCCACTACCCCACTAAAAAGCTACCACTGGCTTACAAGAATGAATCAACACACATCTGGACTCTATCTCCACACAGTATCTACTAGCTACCAGGAACAGCAGAGATAACCCTTGAGGTGAACATTTTCTTTGTCTCTCTTTCTCTCTTATTTTTCTTCTTCAATTGTTTGATCTTCTTTTTATATGCATGTGAACAATGTTTCTAGATTTTTGTGGATGTTGTTCTGTTCTTCCTTTTATTCCTTCCTTCTCTTTCCCTCTTCTGTACCAGCTTCCCAAAGTTTGTGTGATCCTTTGTCCTCCAGGCTTGCTTCTAATCTCTTCCTCTTCTTCTCTTTCTCTATTTTTTCCCTTAAGCTCTTTTAATTTTCACCCATACAAGTAAAATTGGCATAGAGGGTTGATTTACTACATAAAATTTTCTTGGATTTTTTTCCTAGTTTTTAGATTTTGTTATATAATCAAAATTTAGTTCATATGATTATACACGGCAAATTAATGGTTATCTCAGTTTATCATTTTCTAGGCTGTGTTTGATTCCGTTACTGCTGACTGTAGAACTTTAGCCAGGGGTAACATAACTGTTTTAACCAGCTGCTCTTCCTGATAGACCAACACTGAGATTGTCTAAGGGCCATAAAAAATACTGAGAGACAGTGCCAGAGAACCAGAAGCTGGGCCAATTAGGCAGCAACTTCTCATCCATCATAAATTGAAGAGGTAGCATCTTTTTTGTTTGTTTGTTTGTTTTTTTGTCTTTTTCCTTTTTTTATCAGTACCGGGGATCGAACTCACGACTGCCTGCTTACAAGGCAGGCGCTTATGCTGCTGAGCTAAATCCCCAGCCCCGAAGAGGTAGCATCTTGCAATAGAATGAAAACTATCTACTTCAAGAAATTATGTTCTAATAAAATGGAAAATGGAGAAAAAACATGCAGTTCTCTAGTTACATATGAATTACCAAAGCTAAATCAAGAAAACATAGAAACCCTAAATAAATCAGTATCAATGATTTAAAACTGAAGATATAATTAAAAACCTACCAACAAAGAAAATTTGAGGGTCTGACAGATTCACTGCCGATTTCTACAAGAATTTAAAGAATCCCTTAACACTACTTCTCAAACTCTAATGAAATTGAAAGAAAAGCAGTATTCCCAAATTCACTCCTGGAAGCAAGCATTACCTAATACCAAAACCAAAGAAGGCTTCATCAAAAAAAAAGAAGAATACAGGCCAATCTCCCTAATGAACATAGATGCAAAATCCTCAGTAAGACATTAGCAAATGGCTCGCAGCAAATCATCAAGATTATGCACCATGGCATTCATTCCAAAAATACAGGGCTAGTTCAACATTCACAAACCAATAAATGTACATACCACATTAACTGAGCCAAGACAAAAACCACATAATCATCTTAACAGATGCAGAAAAAGCTTTTGACCAAGTCCAACATTTATTCATAAAATCCTACAGAAAACTGGAATAGATGGTCTTTAATTCATTCTGACAAAAACATCCCTGATAAACCAACAGCCAACATCACACTGAACAGACAAAAGCCAAACGCTTTCACTCTCAAATCAAGAAAAGACAAAGACGTCCACAGTTACCACTTATATTCAATACAGTTCAGGAAACATTAGCCAAGCAATTAGACAAGAGAAGGAAACAAAAGGAATAACAACAGGAAAGGATGTTAAATTATCATTTTTCATGGATGACATGATACTCTACATAGAAGACCACAACAAATTTTTATATCTTTGCCCATTGCTTACCACAGGTTCATTCCACCTCACATGTATCCTATGACTTGCCATTGGATCAGTTTAACAATACGTGTTAACAATACTTGTAATCTTACAGATTGATTATAGTTCTGTTCCACCTTAAGCCTACCTCACCTCATGGGTATGCTCAATAAATGGCACTGAGAAAGAAGGTTGGCCAGCAACCCAGTTTCAAGGCCTTTCTGTCCTTCTTAGACAGAACCTTTCTTTCTCTCAATAAATTCTTACTACTCTAAATAAAGAAATAAATGGTATTACCAAAAAAAAAAAAAGTCATCTGTAAAGGAAAAGCCATCAGGATGACCTATAAAGGAAAAGCCATTAGTCACAGCAGACTTCTCAACACAAACCATTAAATGAAAGACGGTTTGCAAAGAAGAATTTCACACCCTAAAAGAAAATAACCTCTAACCCAGATTGATGTATCCCACAAAACTACCTTTCAAAGTCAATGGAAAAATAATTCCATGAGGAAGAGCACTCAAAGAAATCATGATGAATAAACCAGCACTCCAAAAAGTTCTGAAACATATTCTAGGAAAGACAGTGGAGAGAACAATTACTCTGGCACATGCCTGGAATCCCAACATTAGGTAAGCTATGGCAGAAAGACCAACACAAGGTCAAGGCCAACCTTAGCTACACCCTAACTGAAAAGATCACACCACAGTGATATATGTGCATCCATGTTTATAGCAGCACAATTTGTAATAGCCAGATCTTGGAAACAACCTAAGTGTCCATCAACAGAGGAATGGATAAAAAAGCTGTGGTGTTTTTATACAATGGAGTACTACTCAGCTATAAAAAATGATCACATTGAGATATTTATAAATAAATGGACACAACTTGAGGCCATACTCATAAGCAAAATAAATGAAACTCACATGAATAAATACCATATAGTCGCCCTAGTGTAAGAAAAGGTAAGACTATGTAAGAGTTTATGATAATCATGATTCTCCATTACATTGCTTTGAAGTCTTATAATGATCCCATTCATTAGTTGGAATGGGTTTATCATGGTTTGTTTGATTTTATTATCTGTGATGGTATGAATAGCTATTTTGAAGAAAACAAGTCATTATAATAGCCAGTGCTAATTTAATATCGTCTTACTCTGAAGTTCTACCATGCTTTTGTTCTTCTGTTGCCTCTGGTTCTATCCTGTTATATCTTACTGGATTATATTATGTGTGATAGTATAAACAAATTTTCTAAGGAAAATGAGATAATAGAGTAGCCATTGTTCCTTTTCTGTTTATTTGGTTCTGAATGCCCTGTAATACTTTCATTCTCTTGAATGGTTCTATAACTATTTTGTTATGTTTGATACTACTATATATGAAGTTATGCTCAACTATTTCAAAGAAAGAGACACTATGGTAGTTACTGTTGTACGGTTGTTACGGGTTGTCTTCTGGTGAAATACTGTGTTGCTTACATTATTCTGTTCTGATCTGCTTTGTTGCATCCTGTTTTGTCTTAATCTCTTTAACATTAAAAAAATAAAAAAGAACCCTGAGATTCTAACTCACTGCAATAAAAATGGCTCCATCAAGAAATCAACCAATAACAAATGCTGGTGAAGCTATGGGAAAAAGGAACCCTTCTCCACTGTTGGTGGGAGTATAAACTGGTACAGCGACTATGGAAATCAGTATAGAGATTGCTCAAAAAGCTAAAACAAAATTTCCGTGTGACACATCTTTTCCCCTTCGAGTTATTTCCAAAAAGATAAACACATCCTACCACAATGATATATGCATACCCATGTTTACAGCAGCACAATTTATAAAATCCAAATTTTTATGTGGAAGGCACCAGGAATCAAACTCACAACACCTCACTTGCCAGACAAGTGCTGAGTGGCTGAGCTACATCACTGCCTCATATAACAGTAAATTTTTGCAAGCAGCCCATATGCTCATCAATGGATGAATGGATAAAGAAAATTTGGTATTTATATGCAATAGATTACTAATAAAGAAGGATAAACTTGAATCACTTGTAGGTAAATTGATGTACCTACAGCGCGCAATTTTAAATGAAATAAACCAAACACACAAGTTAAATATCGCATATTTTCTCTTTGTCTGAGAAATCCTAAGGGTAATAAATGAAGAGCAAAATGCACCACAGACATTGGAAATTCAGAAGAACATGTTCATGAGGCCAGCCTAGGCTATACTGTGAGTACAAAGCTAGCCTGACCTATGTAACAAAACCCTATTTAAAAAAACCTGGGGTAACCCAATTTTAGGGTCCCTTCTGGCCCTCTTAAGAACAATGGCGGCTTGCTAGGAGGGTGGTTGCAGAGTCTCTGTGGAGAAATCAGATCAGATGCCAGAATATGACAACATAGAAAGGGCCTGAGGAATGGATAATGATTCTTATTAACCAAGGCTGTAACCGAAGGGAAAAATAAAACTAGGAAGATGAAGGAAAAGCACGGGTGGAGAGCTGAAGCCTGACTGTTCACTGAGCCCCATTCCACGCTGCACTAGGCGCACTTCGACATCCAAGGTCGCGCTGAGACCGTGACTGCCAATAACGGGAGTTAGCGAATCTCAGACCCTT